CAGCACTAATTAGAGATTCTACTCAATCAAAAAATTTGGTTACAATTTTGCAACACAGGCAAGAAAATGTTGAAGTAACTGTAAAGCTACTAGAGCACTGAGATAAGGAACTTGTATTAGGACATGTTCAATATCCAATACGCTGAATAACCTCAATCCACAGAAATAGGTTCTATATAGGAGTTAAGTGTCTATTTCTGGTTTAAGCTGCTCAATTTCACAAAAACGGAACAAGGGCACCAATTTCCCATGAACTGTTTGAAACCTCCCTGTATTTTATTTATTGGGGAAAGGAAATAGTAGAAATAACCACCTGTACTCAACGTTCTAATCAAAGCACTACAAGGAAACTCCACTTACTAACTAAATGAGATCAAATGAAAAAAAAACATGAAGTACCTCTTGTGCCAGTTTACAACAGAGAAAAACAAAAACATCACTCTAAAGTTGTCACCACTAAGTAATCTGAGATATTTTAATTGCAGCTGCAGTATTTGTGTTTTTGCCTGTGTGTATGACTCATTCTTAGAAAGGTTCTCCCAAGCCTCCCTTGGATTTTTTTAAGAATGCAGAAACCATAACTGGGGCATTCTGTGTGGGAAGTGTAATGACAGTGAATGAATAAAAGAGAAACAGAACTTATGACAGAATTTTAAAAGAACACCATCAGTCACTCACAAACATCTTTTCTGCAGAATAATAGGAGGTTGGGGAAAGCCATCGTGCCTCTGAGAAGCTTCCCTGGTTGGCTTCAGTATCATCCCAAAGCATGCAGCTCATGTGCTTCTTACACTATATATACTGTTAGTTAACTGGTTTCCTTGTCTGGCTCACCAATTAGACTTCAAGGCCACCTGGGACCAAAAGCTGTCTTAGAATCCTTACTACTTACTTCTCACAATGCCTGGCACAAGGAAGGCTTTTAATAGGTATTCCATAAAATAGAAACCATCAATCTTACATTTATCTAGTATTTTTACATCTTAAGAAGCACCTTAACAAAAACATCATCTCTTTTGATCCATACAACAATCTTATGAAGTGGGAGTATCATTCTTTAACTTAGTGATTTCTGGTTTTACAGAGTTAATTCACCCAGTAAAACAATCCTGAGATCAGAAACAAAAACACATATTTGGTCATCTTTGAGGAAGCTTCTTTTGACTATCCTAAAACCCAGAGGTTTTACTAGCACTTTTTCTGCTTGCTGTCCCTACCAGTTAAGAAATCATACATGCCCTGGATCCTCCCAAAGACATTAAGAGGCAGCAGAATCTTCGACTATGTTCCTGATCCTGTTGATTTTGCGACTCTGACAAAGGTAAAAACCTCAGTCATCAAGTGGACAAAGCTAAGGAATGGCAGAAGCCAAATGCTGGCGAGTGAATGATGTCACCGATGTCACGAAGTTGCATCAATACGTGAAGATGATTTAGCACAACAACGCAACACACTATGCCTACCAGCACAGTGTAAGACTGCCAGGATGTTTGACTGAATTCACTGCATGATGCCTTACTAACAAACTGACACAGAGTGGGTCTCCAATTTTTTTTATAGCAAGGAAGTTGCTGATTAGGCTTTATATACTTTGCAAAGGTACTAATAAAATCTACAAATCTCGGGGTGGGGGTGGGGGGGGGTGGCGAGTGATTTACAAATAAGAAATGGTCAAGGAATTAGTTGATATGAAATTAAACAAGCACCCTTTATAAGTTGACATTTTAATAGTTAACAGCCTAAAGATGTACACAACACACCCGCAGATCAATGCATTGGGTTTACCAAATATCAAGCAGAGATCTAAAATGACAGTATACAATAAAAGGCACAGAATCAAATGGAACACACCACTACGCTCCAAGTTAGCCATCTGATACAGAGCATCGCTAGTCACTGCAAGGCTAGACTTTTAACTATTCAACTCTAAAGAGCTGCATTTCTTCTTAAATTTTCATTATCCCTTTAAACGTATGATGTCATCATTCTTTAGCATCAGTTACAAAGGACAGTTGATGTGTCCCCGGCAAAATAATAATAAGCAATGCCTCAACGATTCCCCATCGCATGATCTTAAATGAAGTCATCATCCTTCACGGGAGCGACCACCCGCCTTCAAATCTGCTTTCCTCCTGGAGAAAAACGCAATCAAGTCTCCCAATTAGCAGCCGAACAACAACAAAAGTTGTTCTCAAACAAGGAATAACAAGCAAAGCTCGACGAGGCTGAACCTCCATCACACGCCCCCCACAGAAAAGTCCAAAGACTGGCAATTAGGATACGCACCTTTTTACTTTCCTAATAAGTCAGGCGCGCTAAGAGACAAAGCAATTGGGTAGCCCGAATCTTAACAAGCCAAAGGCTGGAAACTAACGCGAACTTCATTAGCGGTCAAGTTACTTGGCGGAGGCCATTAGGATGTTACATTTGTTTTGTTTGCCCCGTGGACAAACTCGTTCCCACCCGCCACCGTTCCCTTTGCGCGAACAATTCTCACCACCAGCCTTCCACAGACACATCGTGGATTGCTCACTTCAACCTAGGAGACCCGCAGCTCGGATTCCTCCGGGGGTTCCCCGGACGAGCTGGAAGCTAGGAACCCGGAAAGGCTGGCTGTTTTGTCTCGCCCCCCCGCCCCCCGCCCCCAACCAATTCCAAAATCTTGCCCTTGCAGCTGCAGCTTCAGAGATGCTTGGCCCTTGGCTGCAGCCTCAATTTTTGGAGGGTACCCGACTCCGGTTCCTCTCACAAGGAGTTAAAGGTTCGGGGGCGGGGTGAGCGAATATCTGACACCCCTCCAGCCTTCCTTACCCTGGTCTCTCCCCGTCTCGCACACACACACACACACACACACACACACACCCAGGGTGGAGCGGGTGAGGGGCGCAAATGCCTCTGCTGGTAGAGGGGCTGGGTCCGCTCCGATCCCCGGGGCTGGTTGGAAAGGGTCTCCTCCTCGCCGGGTGCATGGAGGACGACGACAGCAAGAACCCCAGACCAGTGGGCTCGGGCTCCGACTCCACGGGGCTGCCGGGGCTGCGCCGAACCTGGGGCGCCAGCTGCCCCCTGCCACCCAGGGCAGAAAGGGCAGAAGGCGCCGGCTCCCCGCCGCGGCGCCCAGAGGTGGGGAGGCCTCACCTGGCCCAGCCCGCAGCACGCTCTCGGGTTGGCTTCGCTGGCGAAGGTGGGAGGGGAGCAGAGGGCAGGGCGCGAACAGAGGCGCTCGGCTTCAGGCCGCGCTTGCCGCCCTCAGGGGGGCCCTCACAGCAGACCGGACCCCGAGTCTCCCGGAGCCGCCATCTTCCTCCACTCAAACGCCGCCGCCGCCGCCGCCGCCGCCGCTCTGGCCAGAAGACAGCGGGGAGCGCGCATGCGCCGGAGCTCTGCGCGGAGTACGCGCACGCACGCACGCACGCACGTCAGCGCAGCGGGCCCGCGCGGGGAGACTGGGGCGGGGCCATGCTGGGGAGGGACTAGCGGCGGGAAGGGATCCGGGCGGAGATTCTCCTGAGGTTGGAACGCCGCCTTGGGAGCTAAGTGGACGTAAAGCGAAGTTAGGCTTCCACGCCCCTTTTCTCTGGTTTCCGAGGAGCCGGCCTCAGAGCAGAGCCCATCTCCTGCTGCTCTGACGGGTGTTCCCAATGCTACTGCCGGTTATCCCGTGGCCCCAGGAACAGAGAGGCAGAGTCACCGAGGCGCAAACCACAAAGGAGTGTATTGACTAGCTCTAGGGTCCAAGTCCCAGAGCACCAAGCAGTGGCCTCCTCCGAGACTGGGACCCCGGCCTGGGGCACAAGCCGTTTTTATACTCCTTACAGGTTACGTAAGCTGGGTGAAACTATTTCCCCTCACCCTTGCATAGTTCGATGATTTCATCCGGAGACAATTGGTTGTGCAGGTCTTTTTGATTTCCAATTGTGTTCACTCAGAACTTTCCAGGTGCGGTCAGCGTTATTGTGATCACTCGGACCTTTCCAGGTGTGGTCAGCGTCATTTCGGGGAGAGGGTGACTTTGTTAGAGAAACGAAACTCAGGCCTGCCTTAAGAGGCTTGGCCTGCCATGGAGTCACTGCTGCCTTACATCAAGTGACTCAAAGCTGGGTAAAGTTAGAGAGCCTGGAATTAACTCATTTTACCTTCGGGCCTGAGAAGGACCGAGAAGGGCTGTGGTGGATGGAAATGGCCTTGTCTCAGTGCCTTGGTGGCACAAGCATAGCCTCCCTGACAAGTGGTAGCCCACAAGCAAAGCCTCCCTGACAAGTGGTAGCCACCTTGGGAGTTGTCACTAGTCTAAGGTGACCAGATTTTAACATTGGTAAAGCAGGACAAAAGCGGGACTTCATTGATAAAACTCATATCCTGGCCAAATAGCCACATGGCAGCCGAAAACCGTATACCCTAGCTTGTCCTGCATTCTTTCCAAAAATTGAGACTTCTTTAAAACGCCGCGGGACGCGGGACAAATTGTTAAAAATCGGGACGTCTGGTCACCTTACACTAGTCACATGTTTCAGATGACGAAAACGCGGAGAATCATCGGTCATTTACCCAGAGCCTTGCATCGGGGCGTACTGGTTTACACATTGGGCTGCTAAGCGCAAAGCCAGCAGTTCGAAAACACCAGCTGCTCTTTGGAAGAAAGATGAAGCTTAAGCAGTAGCAGTCTACGTTTACAGTCTCGGAAAACCTCAGGGGCAGTTCTACCCTGTCTTCTAGGGTCGGTATGAATGAGCATCAGTCGCTCTGTCATTAGGGGGAGCGTGGGTTTGAACTCTAGGCTCTCTGCTTTACAAACTTCATTATACTGTGACACAAGTGTGTGGGGCCCAGCAAAACACCTTTCCGAGGGACTAACCATGCCTACCACACGTGGTCTAAGGAGATACCAGAAATAGAGCCCAATAGCTTCTGTCTTAATCCTATGGTCTCCTAAAACTGGAAAAACCCACCTTTCTCATTGAAATCATTTTGTATATTCATTTAAAAGTATATACATATATGTATACTGTAATATATAGATATACTTAATCATTACATAATTAAGTACACAAAATGGTTAATTTTTTTTAACTCACCCTTGAATTATCAGCAGACTCCTTAGGGCAGCGGTTCTCAACCTATGAGTCTCAACCCCTTTGGGGGTCAAACAACCTTCACAAGGGTCACCTAAGACCATCAGAAAACATATTTCCGATGGCCTTAGGAACCAAAACCACTCTTCTATCCATCTCCAAGCAGGTCTTCCCACATACAAGTACACGGCATGAAGACTGTTACCTGCGCTACACCATGCTTCAAGACAAATTTTCATTTATTTGTTATTAGAAATAAATATTTCACAATATATAATGACATACTGTTTTGTGATTAATCACTATGCTTTAATTGTGTTCAATTTGTAGCAATGAAAATACATCCTGCATATCAGATATTTACATGACAATTCATAACAGTAGCAAAATTAGTTATGAAGTAGCAACAAAAATAATCTTTTGGTTGGGGGTCACCACAACATGAGGAACTGTATTAAAGGGTCGCAGCATTAGGAAGGTTGAGAACCACTGCTCTAGATCATTATGAGTCGGCATGGACTCACTGAATTTGTTCATTTGGGGTTTATGTGGAGACAGGTCCAGCTCCTGGCCCATGCATCTGCAGCAAATGGCATCACTGCCATGGAACTCAGGCTGACTCACAGCAATCCCCTGTGGGTTTCCAGGACTCAGACAATCCCATGTAACTGTTTACAGGAGTAGAAAGGCCAGTCTTTCTCCCATAGAGCTGGTATGGGTTTATATATGTGCGTATGGCTGGTGCTGTAGGTTAGACATTGGGCTGTCTTCCAACAGGTCTTTGATCAAACCTACTAGCTGCTCCTTGGGAAAAAGAGGAGCTGTCTGCTCCATAAAGATTTACAGTCTTGGAAACCCTACCTAGGGCAGCTGTGAGTTAGAATCCCCTTGGTGGAGATGGGTTTGATTTTTGTATATGTGCGTGTACACCATACAGGGTCTGAACAGCTGACCTTGCAGCTAGCAGCTCAGCGAGTACCTCACTATGCTACCAGGGCTCCTTCAGTAGTGTTAGGGATGTCTGAGTTTTGTTGTAGGGTCGCTATGAGTCGGAATTGACCTGACAGTAAGAGGTTTGTTGGTGCTGAAATTTTGTAAGAGTCCCTAGGAAAACAGTTAAGTACTGGAGTCCTAACAGTAAGGCTGGCAGGATAAACACACTAAGAAGTGCCTTAGAAGCAAGTCCTGGCAGCCTCCTTTCAAAAGATCATAGCCTTGAAATCCCCGCAGAGTCCCACTATGGACACATTGGGTCTACCTGAGTCGCAGTTTACTTCGGTGGCAACGGTCAAAGTAAAACTTTTGTTAACAGTCACATTCTATTTCCTTGTGTGTGTGCATGTGTGTCCTGTAAAATCAACATGGCAAGAGGTGTCTGACTTTCTCTGACTTTATGAAGGGGAAAGAGAATCTGCATCAAGCTGAAGTTGATGCTTTAAAATGGAGGTCAGACCATTCTATTCTAATGTCTGTCCTTGCCATCTTCCCATGGCACTTTCTACTCCTCTGTTGGGTTTGGTAATTCCTTGCAGTGGCCACACAGAATTCACAGACCATACTGTCAGTTAGGGGGTTTATTGGGTTGCAATTCAGGACCAGGAAAAAACTCCAACTACAGGTTTTCAGTTGGGACAGCCTCTTCTCAGCCATCATGAACCAGCCTCTGCCCTGCTCAGGCAGGTGCTACAAAGCTTACATGTGCCTACGAGGTCTGGATAGAAGGCTGTATTAAATAATTCACTGCACTGCAATTTCTTAACATGATTGTCTAGCTTCAGCATGTACATTAGACGGAATTTTCTATGCTATGTCAAATGAACCTGCAGTTGTTTGTTAACTTTCTTATTGTGGTTTGATGTACAGGGAAAATTGTTTTCCCATTCCATGATTCATCATCTTTTGTTTCATGACGTTGATCGCCGTCCCCACAATGCATGGGCACTCTTCCCACGTCCTCTGTATGTTAACTATGTTCCTTTATCCTTGCACTTTTATTCCAGCCTTCTGAAGTTTGTTGCTGTCTTTGTATGCGTCGAGTCAGTTCCGACTCAGAGTGACCTCCTGCACAACAGAAATATTGCCCGGTCTGGTGCCCTCTGCACAGCTGTTCCTATGATTGAGCCCATTGCTGCAGCTGCTGAGTCAGTCCATCTCCTGGAGGGCCTGCCCTTCCTTCATTGCCCCTCTACTTTTCCAAACATGGTCTCCTTCCCCAGGGACCGGTGTTGCATGAGAACGTGTCCAAAGCGTGCAAGACAAAGTCTTGCCATCTTTGCATCTAAGGAGCACTCTGGCCTTACGTCTTCCAAAACATGTCAGTTTGTCCTTTCAGCAGTCCATGGTACTTTCATTATTCTTCTCCAGCACAACAATTCAAATGTATCGATTCTTCTTGGGTCTTCTTTAGTCGATATCCAATTTTCACATGCAAATGAGGAGTTTGAAAATACCCATGGTTTAGGTCAGGTGCACTAACTCAAAGTAAAATCCTTGCTTTTCAACACTTTAAAGAGGACCCCCAATCCCTCCTCTTCCTATTGCATGCATATCCCTAGGCCACCCCCATCCCATTACTGTATTAGCTATACCACAACCCTTTCCTGTGACATGGGTCTTCACCTGTAATTAGGGGGCTTGTATGTCCCCAGAGAATACGAAAGTCTTGGTTAGCATTAAATATCTCTCTCTCTCTCCATGTGGACCACCAAGTGAGGCTTAGGTGAGCATTGCTACCATGAAATGTGTCTAACTCCATTATTTGAATCTCTCTTTTATCTCTAATACTCTCGATGACTATATTATAATATTTATATATCTCAACCGTACAATTGTACCTATCGAACTTGTGATTAGTGGTGGGGGCTGGTTCCCCTTGCAACCACAAATGGCGCCCAACGTGGGGCCTTATAGGAAAATAACTCTTTTGAGTTATATCCCATGAAACAATTGTA